GAATTTGGGCACCATTCCAGTAGCTAAGTGCATCCTGCTAATAACTCTTAACACAATTCTGCTTTCATGTAGACTATTTCTGAGTATACAAATACTTTTTTTTTTGGGGGGGGTGGGGGGGTGGGGCAGAGGTGAGAGATTTTTTGGAGCTTTCTTTTACTTCATCATCAGGAACTCTGGGGAGTTGATTGCCTGCAATTTTGAAATTGGTTCCCCCTCCGAAGTGCCCCATTTCAAGTCCATTAACGACAGCAGGGGAGAGGAGGTGATTGGAGCCAGAGGTCCAAAACTGGTAGACTCTTAGCATCAAATCCTCTTAGCACATTCAGTGTCAGGATGAGCTCTCAAATACCGACACTGTCCTAATAAGACAGCTGTGTTCTACTTTATGGACAGCAGATCTTTTGGGCTCCTCCCTGAGCCAGGGGCAAGCACAAACAGATGCCTCATCTCTTATGGAGAAAAGGTGACTGGCCAGACAACTACTTTTACATTTTGCATATCACCCATACACCAGTCTAAGACAGGTGGGACACTGGGAAATTGATGCTATTTGTGTTAATGGGGTTATTCTCAGCAGTAACAGGTGCACCCACCTGAGGACAAGAAGGGCAATAGAAGTACTGGAACAAAGGTGAGAGCTGGCAATTAGTTGCCCATATTTATCATTTGCGCGTTCCTGAATTCTTCTCCTCACCAAATCATTAGAAAATTGGAATTGGTTTCATTTCCTTCATTGCACTGGAGCCAAAGATGAAATTAACTTTATCAGTTGCACAGGCCAGCTTAAATTTCCTGCTATTGTGTGATCCTGCTTCTTTGCTTTTCATAAAGAAAAAGCAACTAAAGCAGCTCAAAATGCTTTTAATGAAGCAAACTAGTTGATACAGCAGTTTGTTGTTCTTTTTCCCCCCAAATAAAGGGGAAAAGGAAATGTTTTCCTTTTAACTAGAGAGAAAGTATCTGTGGCCAAAATTTCATCTTATGAAAGCTGGTTGGTTTGCACTTTAAAAGTATATCTTCTATGTGTTGTTTTTTGTTTGTTTGTTTGTTTGTTTGTTTTCCCATTTTATTTTGGTTTGCTTTGTTGTGTTTTACCTTGTGAATTACCAACAACAACAAACAAAATAAGCCCATAGCACAGCACAATACATAATAGATGGTTATCTTCTGGTTGCTTTTTCCTCTCTTTACAATTCCATTTTTCAACCTGGATATAAAGCTCTGATCCAGCGTTTTGCAAAAATAAAGTACAATAAAATTGATGCATCATTATGCTGAACAGACGCTATGAGTACCCCAGGGATCTAGAAAAGTAGACCCAGAGAAACATGGAGCTCAGAAAAAGAAAAACGTGACTGTTACCGCTGGGCAGCCACGTTTAGGTAAGTGCTATATCTAGTCTGTAGAGCCACCTTGTCTGTGGCCACTTGTGAGAGGTTACTGGGGCAGCAGAGCCCACAGGTGTTGAGCTGGGACCAGTTTCTCTCGCACAAGTACCCTGAAGATGGCATACAAATGCTGGTATCTGAGAAAAGCAGGGAGGTGAATGTGTCTGAGGAAGTACAGCTTCACCTTCACCAGGTGGAATCTCAAGCTGGGAGAGTTTTGAGATACGATCCCTGATCATGTGTTTGTGATGCCCATATACATCCAACACACGATGTCTTTTCAGTACATTTTTAGTTCATAGCTAGCATTTCTGCATTATGCTTGACACAGATAACAAAGTCTGTAATTAATTCTACTTTGTTTTTGAAGCAGAATGAGTTTATTAATTTTATTGTGAGTCTGTGACTTTTCTCTTTGGGTTGGATTGGATTTGGGTTGGATTCTGTTTACTACCCAACAAGGTGTACTACAACTACAAGCTATACTAAGAGGTTACTACAGATCTTCTCATAGCTTTTATTTCACTGTAATTTTGCTCTGCTGCCTTTTTCTGTGAAATTCCATCCTACATTTGGATAGATTTTCCAGGTATTTGGGGGTAGGGAGGTTGAGGACTTTTTTTTACATCACTTGGAAAACATAACATTATTTAAGATATGCTATAGCTACAACTGTATAGTAGTATTTCCAAGAAAACTTTCATCTTCTGTGCTTTCACCACAACAAAGTTTTCTTTCTCTTCAGTCTTTAAAAGCACAGTGGTCCTGTGCATAGCCAAAACATTGGCAAATGCCACCATCGCCAGTGGTGGTACTCAAAAAATATGTTTTGGAGAGTTCCTGAATTGGAATTTTTAGTCTTCAGGTACAATAGGAGATTCATCATACATAACTATAACCTAGAGGGGCTGAACACAATCCTTGGGGATTTTTTCAGGTCATCTCCTACCTAAATTTGTCTATAATTTTGTGATCTAGTGCACAAAAAAATAATAAATAAATAAAAATAAAATAAAATAAAAAAACTTGAACACAGAACTGCTTGTGGAAACAGACATTGTCAAACTACCCACACTATTTTTTTTTCTTTTTTTTTTTTGTTGTTTTTCTTTCCCCCCCCCCTTTTTTTTTTAATGGGTTATGAAATGGATCAATATGGGTTTGAGTGCAAACATTATACACTTGGGCATTTCTTAGACACTTTACTTGACACAATATAATATTTTGACCAGGGAACTAGAATGATATAGCAACAGCATTGCACATATGCAATAGATTGCAAAACAGCTGATAAATCTCAGCTGTAAGTAAGCAAAGAATTCTCAGCGAGTGAGTGTTTCAAGAGAAATTCTGCAGGGATCAGTTTTTGACTCCACCGTGTTTAAAATTCTTAATCTGTGACTTTAAAGAGAATACATCATCAATAAAAAGACCAGATTATATTTTCCCTATATCTTAAGCCTGTAAGTAGTTGAAGCAGAATGTTTAAAAAAAAATAATAGAATGGGTTAGCAAAGAGCTGAAGGAGCCACTAGAAAATATGCCATCAAGCGAAAAACTCAGGAAATGCAATGTCTTTAATAACTCAGATTTAAGAGGTGATTTAAGGACACCATATAAGAAAGTGCATAGGGGACAAAACTTTAATAAGAGAGTCTTAAATGTAACCAACAAAAGTGTAACAGAACCCAATGGCAGAAACCTGCAGATAGAAAAATCAGACTAGAAACAAGCTGGCTTTCTGCTATCCTACACCTTATCCTTCATATTTGATAATGTTTTGTAAGGACTTTTTTTACTTGTTAGCAATTTTTTTTTTTTTTTTTGAGTAATAAAGGAATGTTCTTGCAAGGCAATTCATAAATGAATTCAGGAATGAACTAATGCAAGGAAATTTGGTCTCTTTTGGTGTATAGGAGGTTTAAGCAAGAACTTGGATGTTTTATTCCAAAACTGATGTCTAGACGTGTTCAGTGGCTGCGTACCCTTACAAATATTTAAATTTGCTGGATGTTTTGCTGTTCCCTTGCTGTCTGCAGTGCTGCATGGTGTGCTGGGTGTTCTGCCGGCTGGGGAGCCAGCATTCACCTCCTGCCTAAGCCTCAAGGGGATCCAGATAAGGAAAAAGGACCGATAATTGTGTTTAACTCACCACTGGTTTGGACAGGGACAAGTGTACAAGCTCCTGTATAAGCTCCCCAAAGCCATTCAGCCACCTGAGTCCCACGTGTGCTCTTCCAACACACCCAGCACAAAGAAATCTGCTCCCCACAAAATGCAAAAGTGGCTTCTAGTTCATTACGCAGCACAGCCCAAGGTGCAGGTGGAACTTGGCTATTGCTAAAAACTGCTGTTTACATGGAGGCTTGGATCTTCTGCCCTGGAAACACATCTGGAAAGTGAGCAAAGGGTGACAAGTGTAAGGACTCGCAGAGAGCAGGGTAGACCTCTGGTCCTCTTCTGGCAAGGAGCACAGGACCAGCCCTGACAGCAGACACCTTCCTTCTCTCCTCTTATCATGGAACAGGTTTGGTAGCACCTGTTTCCTCATGCACTCTATAAAGCACCGAGTTATTCAGTGGCTGTTGCCACAAAACTATGTGTTGCAGGCCCAAACTTTCAGGCCTAAAATCTGTCTTAAGGGGATGATTGCTTTTAAGAAACTACCAAAACATCTGAACACATGCTTATCTTGAAGACTGTGAGCAATCTCTTTTGAATCTAAGTTCAGCACAAGCTTTGATGCCTCCTGGATGAGGCCCTGTGGACATACCTTCATCTTCTCAAGATAGTTGACAAATCGCACTTAGCTGGGGATCAGCATCATAGCAGTACCACAGCTGCAAGATGTTTTCAGTCTGCAGCGTTTAATTGACACCAGAGTGATTCATAATAGCCATAGTTCTCTGTATCAATTAATGTGCCTTACCATAACAGCCTTTTAACAAAATATATTTCTGTTAGGTCACTTAGAGACAGGTAAGCTACTCTAGTCATATTTTTTGTATTAACGTTTTAAAAAAAAAAACACTACTCTTTGCGTGTGTGAGTACTATATTTTTCTTGACACCTGTTACAAGACAGTCTACTTCATTTTTATATTCTATGATAACAGAATATTATATGGTTTAATATTGTCAATTAATTTTATTAAAGATGAAATCAGGGCAAATCTCAATGACAATGGCAATAACAGATCAGCCAGGCTGGTATTTCTTCTGCAAATGATGCTACAAAAGCACCCAGGGGTAAGGCTGGATTGGCAACTCTTTATTTGCTTGGCACCTAAATCATCACAATTTAAATGTTGTTGACATTTTCTTTTTCTCATCTTGGAACTACAAAGATCTATACAAACACTGCTAAGAGCCAGATGGCTTCAATTCTGCCAAGGTTGTAGTTTGGATGAAACTCGGGTGCCTGTTTTGAGCATAACACAAATATTACCTAATATTCCCAAAGAACCTTATTATTTTGCTTACGGTCCAGAAACTGCTGTAAACAGGTGAAAAAAAAAAAAAAGTTGGATTTTTTTCATTGTGCAGGGAGCAACTTAGAGGTAGCAACTTGCATGCTTTCTGGATCATGTTGTAGCCCAAGTTTGGCTTCTTGTGTATGGTGATCTCAATTTTGTCTAAGAGCTGAGTAAGCAAATACTCAATTTGTCTCTGAAAAAGACTTTTTTTTTTTTAATGGCTGAATTTAAGCATATCATGGCTTGAGTTACCTAGGGAAATGTTGCAAATGCAATTTTACTGTGCATTTGTTGAAAGTTACAGCAAAAGTAAAGTGTGTGAATATAGTTGGCAGAGTGGCAGTCCTGGGGCAATGTTTCAGCCAGTTAAAGCAGGTGAGTGCTTTCTGCAGTTGAATACAATTTTCCTGAGGATAATGAGGAAAGGACTTAGCCTACATATGACAAATATTTGCTTTTCAAGTGCCAGCTGCAAGAGCTCTCACTTTCTTCCATAACATTTGAGGGAAACAAATGGATTTTCCAGGAGAATTTCAGTAGGAAAAACTTTGGTGACTACGATATCTGAGCTTCAAGAAACAAAACTTTTGCCTTTTGCCCAGTCCTCTGAGCCACTGCAGGAGACTTCAGTTGCTTGCATTTGCCATCTGTGGCACCTAGAAAGACAAAAGCTTCAGACTGCTATGGTGGGGAGAGATAGGAAAGAAAAACCAAAGTGTATAACGTCTGGCCAGTGGGTTACTTGCCTTTCTCAGATGACTTAAGAATATGAAATGATTCTTAGAACTACGTACAGAGCCAGACAAGATCCTAATCCTCAAGCATCTGGACCTAAAACACAGCAAAGTAAACACAGAAGTGTGGGAGAGAAGTAAATTCATGTTCTCTACAAATTCATACTCCTTCACACACGTTGATCCATGTCACTCTCCCTGGTTTTAAATATATATAAAATGAAGTTGATAGAACAGAACCATGCATCACTGACCCATTGCTAACTCTCAGATGAGTCTTTTTGACCAAAAGTGTGAAATGAACATTTTGTCAATGCATCTGTGTTTGAATCTGTACTGAATTTGTTGTTAACCAGCAGCACATTCCTGGAATTATGGGAAGCATCAGCTGAATGGAAAGGACCCACGTAAGGAAACAGTATGGATTTTCAAAAAACATCTTTCATCCTTTCTTTTTAGAGACTACATAATGTACAAATAAGAATCACACAAGCATCAAGGAGAAAGCTACCTGTGGATGCTCAAAAAAACCCACCAGATGCTCAAAACAGCAAAGAAGTTAAGTACACACCATAGCAAAATGATTTTTTTTTTTGAATGATGAAATTTAGCATGTTATTTAACTACACCTTCAAGATAACAGATTAAATATAGACTTGAACCCTATATCCTTGTCTTTTATTTTGACAACTACTGGCTAATGTACCTGCTCTACATGACAGAGGTTATAATTTTAAAAGCCATGTAAGCCTAAAAAAAACCCACAAAACAAAACAAAACCCAAACCTGCCTTGTCTTTATTTAGGAGAAGTAGTAGAGAAGGGAAAGGATGAATACAGTTTTACTTTTGAGCTGTTGTAGAAATTTGAAAATCCCATTGTAACTAACACAACCTTAAGTTGCATGTTTTTTAAGATACTAATTACCAGCAGAGCCAGCATTTCAGGAATCAGTGCAAACCACTTAATTTCAGTGAGCACTGGTCCCAGGAAAGAGCATCTCTTCTAATTATATAATTAAGCCTGGTGCTTCCATTGATGGACTTCAGTTTGCATATGCATTGTGAACTGTTCTTGATTAATTGCAGTGCAGCATGGCTTATAAACCCTGTTAGCTACTCGTATGTATACATTACAACATTTCCAATCACAGAACTGTCAGGAATAAACTTTTGAAGTGACTTAAAAAATCTGCTTTGATTTCACTACAGATTAATACGGATACTCAGTAGCACAACAGCTTTATTAGCTCACTTATGAGCATTTTGGACCTTGCGTGTCAATAAATAAACCACTGAGTTCCTCTGCTGACAAAAGCCATAGACTTTTTTTTGCAATGACAACCATTTTAATGTATTTATTTCAACCTTTTTTACCAAGGTCTAAATATTTTCTTGTTTGTGATAGAAAGTATCAAAACCGTTATCTAGTTCTTTGAGAACTAGATATCTTGCTAAAAACTTTGCTGTTTATAAATATTATATTATAGCCAACATAGCCAACAGCAGGATAATAAGCAGGAATGGCAGCAAAGGAGACATGAACTCTAAAACATGTTCACGTCAAAGGGAGCAGACCATCTCCATCCAAATAATGCTACAGTTTTCATACCAAATTTTCTTAACAATCCTAAAGAGTCAGGAATGGTGCCCAAGGAAAAGCAATCCTTACCTAGGATGCACTTAATTTCAACAAATGCAATCTTAGCTTTTATTCTGACCCAAGTAGTACTAAAGATCTTAGAGGACAACATAAATAAATAAATAAATAAATAAATAAGCAATGATTAATTAAAAATGTTGCAAAACATGGGCTAGTGATAAATGCAAGACTGGTTTCTCAACATTAGGCTGTGCTCATCTAACCTGCTTTTTTTTTTTTTTTTGGCAAAGGAAACCTAGTAGACCTAATCTGTCTGCAGTTCAGAAAAGCATTCCCACAGGGGAAATTACTAGTTTAAATAGGAACTAGGAGGAGGACTGTGAGCTAAGTATGGACCTAGCTAATGACAATAGGAAAATGGGATGCAAGAGTGTTCAGAGGGGGAAGGTAAAGAAGAGTTATTAGTGATATCTAAAAGATCAGTTTAAAAATCGTGTTAACATTCAACTTTTTCACTTGTGAAATTGGCAGTCAAAAGTGGAAGTTTTCTAATAAAACATGAGAGAGTCAATAGACCTTGCAAATGGAATGGAAAAGGAGGATCTCATTTGGAAAGGACTGAATGATCTTAAGAAAGAAAAAAAGAACTAAGAGATGAAATGCCATGGTATAAAATGAAAGATCATATGTTAGCTAGGATTCGTCCGCTGGAAAACAGGTGCAGCTGCATATATTAAGGATACAAGGATGACCATCTGCCAGCAGTGGTAATGCAGCCAATTAAAATGATAATGAAATCCTAGACCACATCAGGCAAAGTACTTCCAGTAAATAGAAGTGTTGTGGTGAGAGTTCACGTGGTGTATCGTGTTCAGTTCTGTCACGCGTTCACAGGAACCAGCTCAGCCCATGCACAGTGACATCTTGCTTGTTTAGTGAGACAAGGAGAAAGGCTGAGAGAGAAAATGATTGCTGTCACTACATAAGCTAGCTAGGAAAGCCTTGGAGAAGAAAAAACAACTGTTCAGGATGAAAGACAACATTGGTACTGGAAAATAAGTATTAAATGGTCATGAGTACTTTTAGGCTAGACATCCATTGAAAGTGTCCAACTATCAGAAAGAGGAAGGTCTGGAAGAGTCCTGTAACAGCCGGCACAAAACTAGTTCCCTACTGTTTTTAATAATTCCCTATTCATCCGCTTTTAAGATGGAACTTACTTTCTGGAATGATTTACATTATGTCATGGCATGTGATAACTAGAAAGCAGACTACCTCACTGGGAGTTTCTTCCAGACGGAGAACTATCCTTACAGATACTGAGAGAAGCCAGGAAAGGGAAGAGAAGACTCAGAAAGCCTCTAATATCTCATTGGCAATCTTCAAGCAGCTTAATAATTGCTGCAGATCAAAGCATAACTTAATAAGAGCTTTTTTTCCAGGTTTTTCTAACATTGTACCTGCCAGCTTTGCTCTGCCTATCTTCCAAAAAGTTGACAGACTGAGCAATGTCTCTCCCAGAAAAAGAAGTAACACAAGTGGGAGTGGAGGGCAGTAGCTCAAGAAAAGACAAGTAGTGAAGAGACAGAGAGAATCTGCAATGTGGAAATACAGAGAATTTTGGATACCTTATTAAATAAATGAAATAGTTGATCAACAAAGTCAAATGAAAATCTAGAGAATAAAATGCCTTTTTATATGGAGCAGGGACCATGGAGACATTCTTGCTCATGGCAGAGAGAAAAATAAGGGTTGCAAAAGTCTCTGATTCTGGGAGTGGGATATTTTGGAGTGTCAGCCCTCAAAACACAGACATAAAACACAAGAGCTGTTTGAGGAACTGGGATAGGGAGATGCAAGAAGTCTCTGGCATACGCCATGAGCCTGACTACACACGTGGTGGAAGGTGTGACCTGCACAACCCCAACAGAGGCCACGTAACTGCCCCATGCCAGGCTCATTCATCAAGCTGCCTTTCCAGCAAAGGTCTCCCTGTCTTCTAAGCTCTCTCTTACAGAACAAATCGATGCCTAAGCATGCAGACTCACTGCTTTCATACCCCTGCCCATCTTCTCCAGCGGTGATACCTTGTGTGTGTTCAATCTGCCAAGAGCAGCAGGCTGCACAGTGTCTGCAAATAGCTAGTGCTGGGATTTCTTCTGTGCAAATTGGAGCTGAAGCTGCCAAGCTGAGCCTCTGCATGCTCAAGTCATCTTCTCATCACGACTCTTGCTCTCCTGCTTCGTGTCTTTCTCTGGCAACCTGGTAAATCAAGCCACAGCACAATAAAATCTTTGGGATACAGATTGTGTATTTTGAGCCTACAGAGCATTAATTGGCACTCTGGCTGGGCCCTCTTCCTATGCTGCATTACAAAGGATGAAACAGAACATGCAAACTGTTCTGCACCTGGCTTCGCTGAGTTTGTTGTAATGTCTATCCACAGGACTGTTAGTTTAGCTGTCTTTTTATTTTTACTTTTTCCTTTCTTCTAGCTACAGGAGAGATTCAGGAGGCAGTGCTCAGCAGGAAAGATGGGGTGAATCTGGCTCCTCTCGGTTTGAGATACGCTCATCATTTACACCTCTCTTTCCGGGGATTAGATTTCGTACGCAATTATTGTGCCTTGCCAAACTCACCAAAATTAGCCCAGCTGATTTCCAAAGTTTGTTCACCTCCTGAGCAGCACTGGGAGGTACAACCCGTCTCTCTTTGACCTGCCTGGCGCCCCACGCAGCGTGCATTCCTGTAACGTGGATTTGCAGGGCTGAGAGGTTTCAGAGCTTCTTGTTGGAAGCGGCGAACCCGGTTCATCTTTGTTGTGCTTGCTTTCGCTGTTTTCGCTTGTTTGTTAACCTGAAAAAAAAAAATTAAAAAAAAAAGAAGAAGTAACAGTTGCTTTGGAACAAAGCTGGATTTTTTGTTCTTCACGCATAATAAAGCTGTGTTGATGTAAAACCCATGCTTTGCTGTTTCCACCTGGACTCCTGACCGTGCAGCTGCAGGAACAGCTAGGCAATGCCCGTTCCCTGTTCCCGACCCCATTACCCCACCACCTCCCGCAGCCTTTCCCCCGACGGGGCTGCCACCAGCTCGCGGTGGAGACACGGCATGATTCACCAGGGACTGTTTGCCTTGGCCCCGGAGGCCCTCCGTGCGGGGAATGGGATTTCCATTCCCCAGCTTTTCCCTCGGTAGGCGTCCCTGGAAAGGAGCACGGCCCCGGCTCTCCTCTGCCGCCGGCTTCGCGTCCCCCTTGCTGCGGGGAGAGCCCCCGGGACGGGGCAGGGACAGGTCTGAGAGAGGAGGAGGACGGAGGGAGGGGGACGGGGACGAGGTGCAGGGGGGGCTCGGGGCTGAGATTTCAACCGGTGGGGAGGGACGGAGGGAGGGAGAGGGGCCGGCAGCCCGTGTCCGTGAGGGGACGGGCGGCGAGGAGCGGGTCCCGGCTCCTGTGAGGACCGCGTCCCTTCGGGTGCAGGCTGAGGACAGCGGCTCCCCGGCCCCCCGCGGCTGCCTCCCGGAGAAAAGGCGGCCGGGGCGGGTCGGGCAGAGAGCCTGGTTCCTCCCGAGGGGCCACCCCTCCGCCGGACACCGCTCGGGGCTGCCCTGGGGCCGTGGCGAGGAGGAGGAGGCGCTGCTCTGCTCGCAGCCGCCCCGAGGAGCGGCCCCGGCAGCCCCCCAGGTAAGGGCGGAGGGGCCGGGACCCCCGGGGTGGGCAGAGGGAGGGCGAGGAGAGGGGTCCCGGCTGGGGAGGGAGCGGGCAGCGGGGTCCCTGCCGGGGGGATTCGCCCGGTTTTAAGCTCGGTGAGGAATTGGGGGCGCTTTACCTGGAAGGGCTGATGAAGGAGAGATCTCGCAGGTGCCCCCCCGGCTTCCCGCAGGACGGGGCTCGGCCTCCGGGGTGGGGAAGGGGCGAGGGGCAGCGTGCTGAGGGTCGTGTGCCTGCTCCGGGAACCCGGCCTAGGTGGTGCTCCTAATCCTATAAAAAATCGCTGGGGCACCCCTAATGACCACCCAGTCCTGCTTCCGAGCGCAGTACTTGCAGGGGTTGACCGACCCGTGCCATTACGCTCAGCAGCGGGGTGGAGTTGGCTCAGAAGGAAGATTGCAACCCCCTGGTTAATCTAAGGCTTCCTAAATGCCTGGGGCTGCTTTCTGGGCCATCACTCAGTGACCCTGAGTGAGATCCGAAAAGGGGGCATGCTGCTTTAGGTGTTACAGCTGTGCTGCTGTCAGGAAGCTGATGACTTCGGAAGGAATTAACATACCGAGTCCCATCAAGAGCTTAATAAACTACACGTTTGTCTTTTTCACAAAATCCTGAAACTTTTGATACAAAATAATGTGTGAATGGTATGCTATTCTTATATCAGCCTTAAGCACCAGCTTTCTCAGCTTTTTCTCATGTACTATATACCAATATCATTATAGGAATATCCATCAAATTAAAGTTGATTTATTTTACATCTTTAGGAAACACAGCACTTAAAATCACACGTGGCTAAGATCCTAAATCCTGCAGATGATATTCACATAGGTTACGTGAGTCTTTCCATTGACTTCTCTGGGATTTCTCACAAACAAACCCCGCACACAGACACACTCTAGTGCTTATGAGCTGGGACCCAGCTGTAATTGTAAAGATGCTTCAGTCAGTCTGTGCAAACTAGGGAAAGGCTAATCAGCTCTAAATGCTCTCCCATGACTTATAAACTATCTCCATGGGAAGGTAAAGCCCTAACCACTGCTATTTAATTATGATCTGCACATCATTAACAAGCTCTCTTAATACAGTGTACTCATTGTGGGGTTGTGCTTTCTTTATGAGTAAGGGGTTTTATATCCCCAAATTATTGTTTTGCATTGCTGCTGGTACTGGGGTCAGTGTGGGTTTGTGAGTATGTTTTAGAGCTACTGGATATTTTTTGTAAAGAAAAACTTTCTGTTTGCAATTAGGAGCAGTCCATTATGGTTTGTGACTGTACTTCACGGAGGCAAAACTAAGCAGCCCGCATACGTATTATATGTCATATAATATATGCTTGCCTATAATTTCCTTCTCTGAGTTGTAAAAGTGAAATTTCTCAGCTTTGCCATGCTACTCTTCCGCAAACTTAGTGGAAACTCTGATGTCTCGATCCCATTCAGTACCAGAAAGTGCAAATAATCCTGCCCCTAAAGAACAAGATAATGAAAAGGTCTGTTGTCCAACTGGCAACTGAAGAAAACTGTAACATGGAGATTGATGCTGTCATAAAGCAAGAATTCCCACTGCTAAGGCTTGCCGTCTGACCACTGGAAACTATGCAGAGTAAACCATACTATGGGTGCACTGTTCTACAACATCGCTCTTAATTTTTATATGGCAAGCCTCTGAAATGATTGAAATGATTGCCAGCTTCTGCTCCAAGCAGGGGTTGAACCTGATGACCTCCAGAGGTCCCTTCTTACCTCAGTTTGTCTGTGATTCTGTGATTTTGTAGTTATTAGTTCTACCACAGGGTTAGCGGGAAGTCTATATGTGGTTTAGATGAATGAGTTAAAAATAAGATCTCCGAATGTTCCTTATTTTGTTAGTAGAAAATTAAATTATACCTGTAGCACATGTACTCTAAGCCCTTCAGATAATCAAGTCCATTGTGCAGAAGTCCTAATACGATATTTATACTTCACAACAAAATGTAACACATACTTAGTATATTGCTCTTTGCTTTTTCTGATAAGCTGTGTGTTTTGGTGTGTATACTCATCATATGTGTGTGTTTCTGCCCTCCATGCTTGAACAGGCAAGCTGTTCTCCCCCCATCCACAGCACTTCTCTGCCTGCTGCCAGAATGTGGCTGCCCTTATATATTCTATATTCTGTAGCATCTTCAGCCACGCTGCATATGGGAACTCAAGCACAGTGCAAGGTTTGTGGCAGTAGCTGGCTGACCACCTCCTGTCATTCACCTCCCTTCTAGGAACTGCTCTGGAACGTGTTTTGGGTCTTCCCATTTCTGTTTTGATACGTAAGTTTATTACCCTGCCGTGATTTATTTTATTAACTCGGGACATAACCTGGGTGTGAGCATTTGCAGCAGCAGTCAGAATAATTAGGTGCACAACTTCTGGTTCTTAACCCATTGAAATCTTGGATTGCTCTTACTGTCTGGACACTCGTTAGCTTAGATTGGCAAGGGACTGTTTGGTGTTGCTGAGTCAGCAATTAGTTTCATTCTGTGGCGGCTTGCAGTGCTGTTATGGAAGGTCTTTGCATTTGGGTTGTCTGTCTCAGAACACACCCAAATCACTAATTGGCTTTTAGATAATGGTTTTCCCAAGTTGTTCTCATGCTTCTGACAGCACAAATGACCAAAGTTAGCCCCTTAGAAGGAGCTCCTGAATGTGTTAACGAGGGAGTGCTGCTCTGCCACTCTCCAGGACTTGGTTCCATCCTAGGTAGGTTCATGCACTCTTCTGCAGGTAGTGCCTGCCATCAGGACTGGGGAACAGACGAGGAATTTACAGATGTGGAGCTCCTGCAACCTTGTTCCCTCTCAGTGGTTCAACTGTATCAGTAACTTGTGGTTGACAGCCATGGTTTTAGGGAAGTTGTACCCATGCTGTTCTCCTGAGCCTAATGAAGACCTGCGTGTGCAATAAGGACTCATAAAAGATCCATTTCATCTGGGGGAACAGCATTACGTAGAGTGCTCCTTTGCAAGGACAAAGGCAAAATGGTGCTCCTTGCTGATGTGCTAAATATCCTCCTGATTGTGTCTGGCTGCAACCCACAACACCTGCATAGCTAGGGACAGATATTTTCCAGTGCAGGGCTCTGAGGAACTCCACAGCTATTTTTCAGAACTGAAAAGTGCCTGCATCAGCAATCTGGTCCAGAAAGATGGAGGAAATTATTAATACGCTGTGTCCTGACACCCATGCCACACACAGTGATTTCAGTGAGTAATGGACCAGTAATGCATGTGCTGGCTTGTGGTAGTGGAATACCCTGGAACACGTTCTAACTGATAGTTAACGGGGCCCTAAAGTGCCTGCAGTCCTAGTTTTTATCTTCTTATTATTATTATTTTAATTTCTGAGGTGGTAGAAATGAGGTATTTTTTGTCTTGCATAAAATAGCGGCTGATTGGTTTTCCAAGTAATTTACAGTGCTTGTTGACCCAATTTTATTGACTTACGTTGATTGGTTGCAGGTTCTTTAACTTCAGGAAAAGCTTTTGGATTTAACCACAGTTTGCTCTTATCTTAAAAATGGGTGGATGATAAGGAGTGCTGAAAGGACTTCAGAATGTTCTTGCTTTTATGTGTTTGTGATCTTTATAACAAGAATACTGAAGTCAGATATGCAGGCAGCTTTATGGAGGCAAATGTCTGTCTTTTAACTATCAGAAAAGGAAAGCTGAAGGCAGCCTGTAGCAGTCATAACTGCTGTCGGTGGTGCTTTTTTTGTCCTTTTCCTTCCCATATATGATGAGAAACTATATAGGGTTCAAGAGAGAAGATGTTATCCACAGTTACTAAGGGTGTTGAAGTCCCACATGACTGCTGCAAATTGCCCCTTCTGTGCACAGAGTTGATTTCGGTAGCAGCTGGAGAGTGGGTAGGGCAGGGGCTTGTGGGGTTAGAGTGATTTAGCCTTGGAAAGGAACTTGTCCCACACAAGAAGGAAGGAGACCACCCAGAAGAACTGGAGGTGGAACATCTTACTATCCAGGTTTCCCGATTTCTTTTTGGACACGATCTGCCCAGCAAGGACCTGAATGAAAAAGCAGTGGCCTTCAAAGCCAATAGAAAGTTTTCCTAATTCCTGTGTGAAAGAAATTTCCCTATAATGGAGTAAGAGATGGAAGAACTCGGACTTTAGCACGAGTCACAGAGCATCTCTCCTCCCTTGACATTGTCTATGAGTTATCACAGGAAAGAGGACAGATCTTAAAAACATGCACCGTGCGATGGAGAAGCTCATTGATTTATCACCACTGGCTCTGAATATCCAGTAGAGCCTCTACTCAAAACGCAGCCATTAATCCCTTGTGACAAGACTTCCATGGAAACATATTTTAAAGGATAGAAACAGGCATGTGGTGTTTGAATATTGTCCAATGGAGGAAGTATGTATTTTAAAGATGAAGTCACGATTTAATTTTTTCAATATTCTTACACTGTAATTCGTGAAAGTTGAAAATGCATTAGAGGGCTTAAAAAATATCTGGTGCTCAGCCTGGGTGAGCCGTGTCTTGCCACACCTTCTCCTGGTGCCTTTGGCTTTCGAGGTGTTTGGGATGGTTGTGGTCTGCCCCGCTGAGCTGTCTCCTGATAGCACAGTCATGAATACTCCTGCTGTAGCAGCCGGAATTTAAGGGCTTGAAACATATTTTCCAGAGAGCCACTGAAATTTGGTGTTTGTAACTTTGGGAACACGCTCTTAGCTTGGTAGAGCAAGGGTTAGCCAGCAATGTGATGCTACAGAGAGCTGTGCCAGCAGCCTGGCTTAGCCTGCTGGGAAAATGAGGTGTTAAATACCAAGTGTGGTACAATAAACACTATCCAGCTTCACCAGTGAAGACAGCAGACCTTGCAGAAGACCCAAAAAATAAACAGAGAACCGTGGGAGGGCTGTACACATGGAAGCTGTGTAACCACAGTGCAGGCTGGTCATGCGAAAACGCAAGCAGCAGTGGGCACAAATATGTACCTGGAACTAGAGCAAAGCACCCGAGACTGAAGTGCCATCACCTCAAGGAAGAGGTCCAGAAGTTTTCAGTTCAGATTCAAGGTGGCAGGAGAAGAGCACAGGCTTGGATCGGTGGTGCCTTCTATCACGTATACTTATATACTCTCACGTATACTTTATATACTATACTTTACACACATATCCTATATAGCTTTTGGATTTGGGAACTCATTGGTTTTTCCTCATTGAAAATTGATGCAATTTCCCTTTGATTTTATTTTAAATTATCCTTGTACATCAAAACTTGGAGATGAGGCTAATAAATCTCTCCTCTTTTAAGCACTGTACACTAAACAGTAGTGTAAAATGCTTGTGAGGGTACAAGTACTTTGATAATAGGGCATTTATTGTTGGAACTGTAAGTAGGCTTATTTTCCAATTATCAGACTGGTAAAGGTATTGAGATCTAAGGAGCTGTGTTTTCTGAAGTAAAATGAAACACTATGAAGCAGGAGAAGCTATGCTAAGCTTGAATAAAAAGATCTCCAGAAAACTAGGTACTGTTATTCAGTTCCTCCATCTCTTTAGTACCCTTTACTTGTCACCACTGACTTGTAAAATCATGCAGAATTGAACCTTTTTTTTTTTTTAATACATCTCATAATTCAGTGAAAGCTAATGAATGATCACTTAGGAATTTTGGTTTGTCTGGTCAGCTAATCGTATGATATTTGCATGCTTTATAAACATTTTCCTAGTAGAATTCAAATATTTAGAACCAGCAGCAAACACTTGGTTTTTCTGATTTCTGAAGTCGCTTGTGGGCAGCGTTGATCCTAGTGAAGTTGTCACCAAATATAAAAGATTGCTGTGAAGGTATAAACTATGGTAAGGGGCAGATTGTAGGAGAGTTAGGTTGGAGGTACTTTGCAGAGCTGGGGGGGTGGTCCTTAATTCTTTGTCACAGTTTTCTTTGGTCACAGGACAGTTCAGTGATGCTCTCTGAAGGTGCTCCGCCACAGCACTCTTGGTTCTCTGCTAATGCACCATCAGGAACAGGTGAAATGGCTTTTCTTACAGAACTAACATGTCCTTGAGGTTCGTTTACCTACTGGTCCTAACCACCAGGCCAGAAGGAAGGATGCCCCCTTGCAGAGCCCCGTGTTTGTTGCTGATGGCCTTGAGAAGTGAGAAGACAACCTGGGAGCAGCTTTTAGCAGTGACAACCTGTTGCATCCAGCAAAATAAGGTCCCGTTTTCAGCAGTGCATGCTGTTTACAGAGTCCATCTGTTTCTGACTAGAGCACTGGAACTGCTCTACCCATAATACCATCCAGCTGTCCATGCTGCTGGGGCTCCAAACTCTTACTGCTTAGTGGCAACTATTTACATAAACTCTGCCCTATTTTGAATGTTCTTAAATCATATGTTACTGAGTGATATTAAACATGTAAACGTGGTTGGGCAAAAGCCCCGTTCATTTTGCCCTATGGCATGTACACCAGAACATTGTGTTCGTATTTGGGGGTGCCAAGTAGGAAACACAAAAGGAAAAATAGATTGGTACACAGAAAATAGTACCATGTGTATACGGTTGTGTGGGAAAGACTTAAGAAAAATTGATAAAAATGTCTTTATTAGAGAGAAAATATTTCCATAGAATTTTGTATTCTACTAGTGGGTGCCTCATGGTGGTGAAAAAATGTAATTCTCTTGCTGAAGCTGGGCATTGAGTTGTCTTCTGTTATAGATCTGTGGCTCTGTGTAACTATGCTTTTCAGGCTTAGGACCCTATTAAAATTGTTTTCATTATTTTAGTTATTTAGCCAAAAATTTGCACTGCTTGTGAGGTTGCCACTGCTTCAGGTAGAACAGTCCTGTTTTTGTTGTGAAAGTGGGTAGCTTTATCCATCTCTTGCATCATCTTTTGACCAAGCTTCATCATATCGCCTGTTCTAAGGCTGAGCTTAGCTCCTGCGAAATGCTCTTTTCACAAGACATACCAATGAAGATTAAAAAATTAAAACGAAAATAGTTTTGGGGGAAGGTAGAAGGAATAGACATCTGAAAATGTCACCTGCAGGGGACATGGCCAGAAGATGGGTCTTCAGCATCTCAGCTTTCTGTTAGTGGACAGAGTCAGCCATGGCTTTTGATGGTGCCTTAAGAAACTCCTGGATATGAATCATCTCTTAGTAGAGGGATTTTGCTGGTTAATTTTCTCTTTGGTTTGAAAAAATCTTCTTAACTTGAGGAAAGCTCATTGCTAATCTTCAGAAGTCATCTTCTTGAGTAAACAAGGTTCATTCTGCACTTTTACCTTCATGCTAACAATCAAGAACAGACTTTTGAAAGAGAAGCATGAGCTGTTTCCAGTTCACATTCACAGTTACTGTTTCTGGAGTATATTAATTTCTCTTGTCTTATTCTCCAAAATTTTCTGAAGCAAGTATCTGTCAGACCACAAGAACCATTAAACATCTGAAAAAATGCACACTACATGGACTGCTGAGTAGAATAATGAAAATTTATTTGAGTCCTCATATCCATTTGTGGTAACAAGCTCACTGAGAGTTTCTTTCTTGTTTTAAAAATAATTGGATTTTTGCAGATACATCTAGGAGTTGATAGATTTACAATTTTAGCTACAAACTTCAACTAACAATACCCAAGAAGACTACGCAGGGTCTGCTAACTGCTACTTTATTATATAGATCTTCTTTCTTGAAGGTGTAGGCATACCAGTATATCAACGTGTTGGTGTGCGATGGGTTGGAAGCAACACAACTGGGTGGTTGACGTGGTTGTAGTGTATCTTTTCATGTAATCACAGAGCTCATCTCCTTCCCTCCTTTATTGCAGTTTTGCATCCTGGAATGTCCCTCTACTTCTTGAAAATGCAGAAAATGGTTGCATGCTTCTTCTTGCTGTTTGGGCACATGCTGCTTTCCACTGGCTCTGTCATGGCAAAAGATCTCCCCGGAGGACATTTCACCCGAAGGGATGTTAACTCTCAATCTCTACTAGGTAAGTTACAAAAAGAACAAACCAAAGCAAAATAACAACCACCACTAAAAGCCATCCCAAGTATAAAGATAATAAAGATAAAAGGCATGAGCATTGGCCAAACCTTGGCTGAGTTAGTTTGTAACAGTTTTCAGGCAGGAATATGAGTTGACCTAGCAGCTCTTGAAAGAAGGTGTTTACTTTTGGAATATTAGATCTACTTTATATATAAATGCTGTGAAATAAATATTTGCTACAGGACTCTTATACTGGAAAAAAAAAGACTTATTCTCAGTGTTTAGAGAAAATATGTTTTGGTGCATGGAGGTTTTGTCAAAGCTTTTTTTTTTTTTTTTAACCATGCAAGCAACCTTTAGCTTTTTATATGTGCTTTGGGTAAGGGTGACTGAACTAAAATCATTAGCTATTGAAATGGGGCTTCTCGTTACATTACCTGATGTTAATCCTTTCATTCTGTCAAGTTGACTTTATTTATAATGAGTAGGTCATTTTTCCTGTTTTGCTAAAAATCTGAGGACAGAATTTCGCATTTAGCTTGTTTCTGTCATATTTTAAAACATAGTTTCATCTCTCTCATTGATCGTTGCCAGTTCCCTTTCTTACTGTCTCTCTCAGAAGTAATGGATGTGGTCTTGAGATGCTTGGGGTTCAGCAACTGGAGGCTGAAAACCACAGCTGTAGAGACCTAGTCCATCCGAAGGCATGGATGTGGAACAGCAAGGAGAAACACTCCCATTCACGCGTTATTCAACAAGACTTTTAACCTTTCTAAGATCTTAAACTCTAAAATGAGATTAAATAGTAGTCTCTCCTGAAACTTTAGAGTCTCCAGCAAATATGTTATGTTATTATTTCAATAAATGAACTGTCTTCCTACAAAATGAATGCAATAGTAAGGTGCAATGTGGAGAAACTAACAGGTGTCATGTTTCTCAGCTTGCCTTTTCTTTTCTGTGTTTTTTTTTTTTTTTTTTTTTAATTCTTTTATAGTCTCTTTTCCATATTTTAAATGATAGAAAATCCATTAAAAGTATTAGCACCAGATATGAAGTCAAAATGTACAGATTAAATTATTTCTTTCTTATTTCAAAAGCCGAGCAATTCTGTGGCCACTGCATTTGGAAATTCCTGTATTCCTCTTCAGTTTGGCATGTGCAGGATGCAAACAGTATTGGCAGCTCTGGCTGAAAGAACCTTTTTGAGACATTAAATGATGCAAGAAACTTGGGACACTCTCTGGTCCAGCCCATAAAACTACGTGGCAGTTTGGAGTCAGCCTCTTGGACCTTGCATTCTATTACAATAAATTAGGTCACCTGCTTCAAATTCTGCAGTTGCATATGAGCAGTGGCACAGTTAAAACGTGCCTCTCTGCAAAGAACAGAATGTGTAAAATGCATGCCATTCTGCTCGAAAGCTGCACTGTTCTTTAAATGACATGAGAAAGAGCTGGGCCAAATCGTGATCTCAGTGGCATCAGTTTTATTGACTTAATAAAATCACTCAGACTTAGAGCAATTTAACAGGGATTAGAAGCTGTTCCATTCTATATAATATATATGTTACAAATAGTGGCAATGACAGTTGCTGCTGTTGTGGAAAGACATGGTTGGCAGGCAAAAATGAGCAAAGAACCAACAGATATATGGAAAAGCAATACAAGTTAAGCAGTTTTTGTTGGGTGGAGGTCTGTTCCTAGGACAAAAATGAAGGATTATGTGTTGTTAGTATTCGTAGCATCAAAATAATTTTATTCTTTTATTTTTTTCTCTATTTTACCAATTTTTTAGACAAAAGTGCACTGCCGTGACAGGTATTTACTGGTAAAATACAAGCAGTGGCTATGTGCAAAAGAAAAATTCCTTGCTGCAGGAAACTGGCAATATAAATAAGCAAAATGGAACAAATGAAAAATCCTGTGGTATTATCCAAATAGAGATACAAATACTTTGGGATCCGGCTTCAGGGGGATTTAGTTTTTTGGCAGCCATACACTCATCCTTCATTGATTTTTTAATTATCTTGTTAGCACTAATAGAGTATAGGAAGGAAATTCTAAGGAAGCTTTCAGAAGGAATGAGCTATGTCTTTTCTGTTTTTCTTATCCCCAGTCTTTCTGCTAAACCTCAGTGTGTGTTGTTTTAATTTCGTAGAACTTTGCTTAGCTTCTGATTGTTTAGAATTATTACTATCATTAATAATTTCCATTAAAATCTGATATCTTGTGTGCAATTGAACACAAAGCTTTTGGAAATCAGTGTGGCCTTTGAGAGCCAAACTGCTTTGAGTGGATTTGACTTTTTGCACTTCTCTTTCCTTAAACCCTGAAACAAACTCCTGAGTATTTAAAACCTGTCAACTATGCTGATTTGGTTGACTCCATGAACATTTTCCTAAATCATCCTTGAAGCATATTAGTTGTGGAACGTGAGTAGTTTGTTTAGAGGTAGAAAATATTTGTCTATTTCTCATATTCATGGAACATGTATTACATTGTTGGAAAGTAATGTATTATTGTAGGTATATTTATGTTTGGAGTGGAGTGGTCTCCTGAAAGACCACGTGAAATAACAGAAAGAGATGGGATGGCCTGTGGAAATCTTTTTTTCTGAAGCAGAGGGCAGTCCCCTCTCCTTTTAAATGACAAACAAACTAAAATTTACCTTCTCTTTCCTCTTATCAATAATTTGATCCTGAGTATTGGATCTTTTGGCTTATCCTGATACCTCAAAGGAAATTAATCTTTTTGCTTCAGAATCTTCTCTTTTAAGGGTTTTACAAGAGCTCTGAAGAGTTTTTACTTAGCTGTCTGACGAAATCATTGTTCCTGCTGAGTGCAGCTGTTTTGTTAGATTACACACAGATCAGTGAAAGCACAGTTTGCCAAGTTAGTGTTGCTTTTTGGATACTAAAGAAAAGCAGTGATGGAAATATAGTTGGCTACATGTTTTTAAATATAAAATTAAGTCTATTACGTTGGCTAATTTCCTTCAGGTATAACTGAGATGGACTTCTGCACTTAAATGGATAGACTGGCCAAGCTCTGTATCAGTTGCCCAGAGAGGTGATCTCAGTACTGGGATTTCAAGGCTGTGGTCCAAAATCCACAGCACCTTTCAGCAGTTTCCAGGTTCAGAAGTTGCACATACCCAGTCCTTGCAAAATGCAGCCTTTTTTTTTGTGCTTGATGTTGTGCATTAGGGGAAGATGAGGAAGGGGAGAAACATAGTACTGTGTTTTAGGCATTTATTGTAAAACAAAGCAAAACAAAATTTCAAAACTGTGTAAAGCCCACAAGTTTTTGGGGGGTTGGCTTTTTTTTGTGTGAGCTCTGTTCTTGTAAATTGGGCGTATATTTCATGTCACATCAGGGGCATATTTCTTTGGAGAGCTTTGAAGTCGATGCATGGGAATAATTGAATAAGCTGTGGATTAATATTATAAGCAATGACATCCCATCTGTTCCTTAGAAATATAAAATGTGCACCTATCTGTTTTTGAAAATAACAACTTAAGTGAACGAAAAAACTAATCTAGGGAGCATTTCTTTAGATTTTACATGATAGTAGAAGAAAGAAACTATGGGAGATTTACTATACTGCACAAAATTGAAACAAAGGGAGGGGAAAGGAGGCCAAGAGGGAAATGTTCTTGGCCCTTGTTCAGTAGAAACTGCGGCTAAACTCAAGTGTCCTTGTCTGTGTTGAATTATATTTTGCTGCAAAATATATAATGATTTATCTCTTGGTTGTATGTATAGGGTTCCACTAATAAAATGAGGGGAAATAATTTGAAGTACACATGGCTGACTGAATTTATGAATCACTGCTAGTCTCTTAAAATTATTCCAAACATTCTTATATCCAGCCCAGTTCATAAGCTTGTTTGTATGTAACTTCAGGGTTCGAGAGCATTATCCAGTTAACTTTTCTGGGTTAAATTTTAGCCACAAATGAGAAGGAAAAATACATGACGGAAGTGTGTACAGTCTGTAAGACTTCTGTGGAATACAGAAAAGATTTCTGTGTAGTTTTGATTGAGTTTATTGGACATTTATACCCTCAGTGCTGGCCAGAGGTCTCTAAATCCTGCTAATGTGGACTGCTGAACCACGTGATAGCAGCTGTAAGAATCTCATTCACAGCCTTAACATATTCGTGTAATTTCTTCACATAAATGCAACCCTGCCAAGTTCTTTGGTCCTCAAAGACATTAAGCAGGGTCATTGCAACTGAAGTCTGCTTTACAATTGAAGCTAGGATTGTGCCATGATAACTGTAGCATGTTTGTGACATGCTATGATGATATTATATCTGGGAAGATCAAAACTATTCCTGGTTATAGATAAAGGCAGGAAGAGGTTGTGAATTACATCTTCTGAGTTATCACATATTTAGTTAAAATGTAACTGAAATCCTTTTCTAATTAAAAGGTAACTAAACTTTTATAAGTATATAAGGTAATCAAATACACGCAGTTCAGATTCTTGCTAATCAAATCATAAAATTGCCATTTAAATATAGGCATGTTATTTGTAAAGTGAGAGCAAAGCATTTTATAGTCTGCAAAATCACTTGTTTCTTCCTTCTGAGTAGTGTAGGTACAATCAGTGTGCTGGAGTGGAGTATTAGCAACTGCTTGCTTTACGTTCCAGCAGCTGGGAGGTCTGCTGAGGCTTCAAACTTCAGCTTTCATCTTAACATCTCAGCTGTCAGCCTCTTCCCAGCAATATCTGGTATCTGTTATCTACCTGGTCTGAAGCAGCAGCAGGAGTTTCACTTGCCCAGACCCCTCCACTCTTTTAGGCTCCTGTGTTTTGTTGGCAGTGAAAGGCCCTCTCCTCTCCCTGTGGCTCTCAGGCTTTGTGGTCTGCCTTGTGGCTGTGCCTCCCAAAACCCAAATAGGAGTCTGGGGAAGCAACAAGAGAGTGGTGACCATATCCCTGCCCAGGCAGTTGTTCTTGTGGAATCTGTTAGCCCTAAAACAGCCCAACTAATGAG